AAATTTCGATTCTTTCGAATTCGACGAACCAAATTCACTCTGAAACGAGACAGCAATTTCAAACCAACCGAACAAGCATTAAAAATAAAAATAATAATAATAATAATAAATACAACAACCTGAAATTAAAACAAAAATTAAAAAATTCAAAAATAAACCCCCTCAACAAGTATAACATTAATACGATGCATCTAAACATCCTCTCCAATTAATAACTCAAAAAAATCACAAATAAACCTTTTATTGAGCATTTCGTTGTAACAATAACAATACAATACAGTATCAAGCCCCGCCCACTACGGTATCAGGCCCCGCCCATTTCAATATCAAGCCCCGCCCACACTCACCTATCAATACAATAAAAACAATATTAACAATACGGCACATTAAAAACAATAACACTCATCATACCGCAACCATCAAACTCCGCCCACTTCGATATCAAGCCCCGCCCATTACCGTATCAAACTCCACCCACTCCGATATCAAGCCCCGCCCACATTCTCCTATCAATACAATAAAACTATATTAACAATACAGCACATTAAAAACAATAACACCCATCAAACCGCAACCATCAAACCCCGCCCACTACCGTATCAAGCCCCGCCTACTTCGATATCAAGCCCCGCCCACACCCTCCTATCAATACAATAAAACAATATTAACAATACATTAAAATCAACAAAAACAATAACAATACAATACAATAAACCCTCTACATGAGATCACACACCGAATCCTTTACACGTCATCCCTCAAAAGGAATGACTGCAGAACCAAAAATTCTTAAAATTTTAAAAAAATTTAAAAAATTTTTAAATTTTCAACAAAATTTAAAATATTTCTGCCTGCAAATATTCGGTCCACTCTCGTCGTATTCTGCTTTCGTAACAAATCTGTAAAAATCGTACGTTACCCAAGACAGTCTCTGAATCTCCTACGTTTCAATTATATCTCACTCGTTTCCCAATAAATCCAAAAACAACTAAATAACCGACCGCTGATTGAAGGCACCGCCCGCGTTCACGACCGCCTTGCCGCACCGCCACGCGTGCGTTATCGGATCCTGAACGGGTCTCAAACGGATTTTGTATAAGTCGTCCGCCTCTGTCCTCAAATCGTTCTCACTGCAACAAAACATTTCCGATTATTATTACCACAAAGTAAACTCCAAACTACAAACATCAAACACCAAACTACAAACATCAAACACCAAACTCCAAACATCAAACACCAAACTACAACCTGTAAAATCTAAACTACCAAACTAAAATACTCAAAAAACGAATCCTTTAATGCTTAAAACACGAATATCCTCAAGTCAATCTTAATGATACGTTGATTATGACGATAACAATAACAATAATAATAATAATAATAATAATAAACAATAATAATAACAATAAATAATAATAAATAATAATATTTAATAATAATAATAATAATTAATAATAATAAATAATAATAAATAATATAAAAATGCACCCACACTCGT